TTACAGGAAAATCTATCGATTCCACATGGAAATTAGCTTTAAGATAACTCGTAAAATGCATCCAATGGGAACATTATGTTAATATTGTACATTTCATTTTTAAATAAAATCAATTAAATAAATAAAAATATATACAGTAAAGTGGAGTGCTCGTAAGGCAGTTAAACATATTACATTCAGAGATTTTCATAGATGCTAATCTGAAGGTGCTGCTAAGCCTGCACCTGATTAGCTTGCCTGTTTATTAGACCAGACATTTTCAGAGCTGCCGTCCCCTCTCCATCATTGCCAGTTGTCCTTGATAATGTACTAAATGAGTTATTAACAACCTTTCTACCCTCTATCTTCTCTACATCACACATGTTGATCAAGGTCATTTTCAAGCAGACACACATCTGTTACAATTAAAAATCACTGAAGCTTGTGTACATGCTAATGCTAGCTGTGTTTCCACACTAAGAACAAACCATTACTAATCTCAGAGCAGTGAAAGCAGAGCCATCAGCTGATGATGAGCACAGACTGACCTCACAGCTGGAGATCACAGTGATTGGCTGTGCAGTGGATTTAGACTGTGCTCTGCTGTGATATTTACTGAATGACACTTAACATATTTTTTTCTTCTTTTTCTTTCAAGTGATTGCCAGATGTGTAGTCCATGGAAAATCTCAGTATCAGTATAAGTAAGTTATAATTGGTAACATTATGTGTTACAGCATCTTATCGTTGCACCAACTACACATATTACTGGTAACTTCCTTAACTGCAGATGATGGCTAATCAGTGCAGCTTAAAACTTTGTTTCCTTGGAAGAATCCATCCAAGTCGCTTTGCCTGTAAAGTTTTGTGTACCACTCTGATGGTTGTAGCAGTCTTTCACTTTGCATGTTCATTTTCATGTTTCATTCAATGGCATGTAATATCAGCACCACACACAGGTACTGATCCAGTACCTGGCATTTACTAGCTTTGGCCAGTAGCTTGTAAGTGAACTCCAGCCACAAAACAAAGGAATATTGAAATTTTCTAACACAAACATGTTATACAAACATATGTGGTCTGATACATGTGTTATTTGTGACTGTCCTGTGACACTGTCCAGCATCTCTTAAACACAGTTCTTTCAATCTCTCATTTCCCACAAACTATACAAAGGTTTCTGGCTTCTCTAAACCTCAGCTGTGGCAAAGGGGCTAACAACATATGGGCTTGATCTCTCTGAACAATAATAATTATTACCTAAACTCCACTCCTGCACGAGCATCACTAGGGATCGGAAATCAGATACAATGTGAACTGCTATAAATGTCTGTTATGTTTTGCATTATGGATGATTTTTCCAACAGTAACCAGCGGGGATGAGTAGCATAGTGAAATCTATGCAATTTAAAAAAAAACATATAGTATTTGTGTCCTAGGTGTGTGAAGGTTCTCAGTCATCCAGGTCATCGTAATCTACGGAGCTTGGAAAGAAAAGCGTCTGGACTTCTTTAAGTTGCTTGAAGACGTTTCACCTCTCATCCGAGAAGCTTCTTCACTTATGAGGTCAAATGGTGGAGTCCCAGAATTTATGATCCTATACCTAATCACATGAGCCAAGGTGTGAAAATAGGTGTAGGTCACAATCAGCCAAGGTTTCAGTTGAGCTCATTGTGAAACCCAGCCCAACCCTATCATGTGATTTCGTGAGGTCAGATGGCCCACGATGTGAGTGAGCGTTAAGGCGGCTGGAATGGGATCCCTTCCCAGATGCCCACTGAACAATGATTGTGACCTACACCAGTTTTTTTTCCTAATGTGATTAGGTAGAGGATCATTTGACCCTAGAACTGAAGAAGCTTCTCGGATAAGAGGTAAAATGTCTTCAAGAACCTTAAAGAAGTCCAGACACTTTTCTTTTTGAGCTCGTTAGACTATTTGTGCCATCGTTCCATCTTATCTTTTAAGAGCTATTACTTAAAAATAACACACAAAGAGAAAATAAACTTTATTTTGAATTGATCAGAAACCAGCAGTAAACACATAAAGATGAAACAGCAGAAAGATTCTGTTATCCTTTGGTAAAATTTTCATCTAGAACTGTTATATAATAAATAATGATTTTTCACACAATGAGCAAATCACAACAGTAGCCTTTATCTAAACGTTTGAGCCAAGTTGAGCTATATAGTTTGATTATACTGACAATGTGTGATAAATAGTATAAATAACTAATAATAAATATAAATAATATAATCACCAAACTACTTTAGTTCATCGATTTACCTGTTTTTAAATCTCTGCAGTAACACAAAAAACAAATTTCTCAGTGTTTCCCATCTTCATTTCATGGAGTTGCTCTGTCTCGATCCTGTAGATATATAAGGACACAGACAAGTTCATTAGTACAACCAAAAGGTCAAAAGTGTAATGCTATCTCGAGGCTCTGACAGGATATGCAGGTTTAACTGCAGCTTTCTTGTTTATGTTGTCGTCGCATTGCTTGTAACATGGTAATGCCTGTCACTGCCATGGTAGAAAGTCATTTTCGTGACACCAGCTTTGAAAGCAGAACTTAGCATCTCTCAGACTCGCTGAGTTCTTACAGTAAACTCTGAGGATCTTCTCAGCAAAGCACACTGGGAGAAGCTTGGACACCTGACAACAAGGACAGTCACATAAAAGCTGTTTTACAGAGACATCTACAGAAAGAACAGCTCATGCAAAGACATGCAGTAGTTCTGACCTGTTCTCTGGAAATCTTGAATGCTTCAGTAGGTTTAGCCTTAGTGTAGAAATATGTGGTATTGATGGGGTCCTTGTTTTTCATCCCATAGTCCAAAGTGACAACCTACAAAAGGAGTGTGACAGAGCAGCCTGTGTTGATGTTCAAATGTACATTATGGCTCAGTCGAGGTTGGCAACACAATTTAGCTAAAAACAAAAACAAAACAAAAGCCAAGATTTTAGGAAGATTTATTAATATATAATA